CCGTTAGTTCTATTATAGTTCGATATGCGGCGTGTCGGAGGCGTCGAAGACCCGTCTTGGCCGCTGCCAGAGGCACTGGCTGCACGACCGGAAGTGCTGGATGGGTGGCGTTTTTTCATGTTGGTCACGTCCTCGTTAATGTCGTGTATGCATGTCCACTCTCGATTCTCATCGTAGCTCACACGCGTCAGCATGCAGCGGGAGTTCGGATGAATCTGCAGTGCCAGTATCATATCGGCATCGTTGCGCTCCGGAAAATCTGTGACCAGCTCCACGCGGTTCCTCTTCTGGCGCCTCGAGAACAAATGATCGAATTTGGCCGTCACTGGCATGTACTGATCAACTATCTGCATGAGACGATAGATGTCAGGTTTGAAGCCACCGAGGTCATCGTTTAATGTGGTCAAGTCCAGGCGATGGATGACCATGATGTATCCACCGCTGAGGCACAGCACCAGTTTGTCGCCCATCGGGGAGATGCGGCATCTCAAGAGGCCACTGACATGGAATACGCGCTCTGAGATGAGGCCCTGTTCCGTGTACGAGGCGGTGTCCCAGGTCAAGATGCTGCCATCGAAGCTGGAGGTGACTAGCAGCTTGTCCTTGGGCGAGTACTCGATGTTCTTCACCCAATTGGAATGGCCATGCAAGACACGAAGCTTTTCGCGCATGTTGCGCAGGTCCCACATTGCGACGGTTAAATCGTCAGAGCCCGTAGCAAAGATGCGCGCGTCGACGAACTTGATGCAATTGACGCAGTCGGTGTGGGCATCGGGTACCTTGAAAATTTCCTTCTGTGTGATGGCATCGAACACCAACACGGACTTCCGCTCGGTGGCGGCCACCATTACATTTCCATCGGCATTGAATTCCAGATTAAAAATGGCTCCACCGACGCGTACAGGCTCGCCGGATTCCTGGTTGGTATGATAGCTGTTAAACATGTTTATGCTTGTGTATATGCGACGCATTATGAAGTTCTCATCTCCCCACGATTGGAAGCCACGCTCGCGCCGACTTAGATATTGCTCCATAGTTATAATTTTCATGCCAGGATCAAACGAAAAAGTAAAAACTAAAAATGGCCGGCCAACTCAACCATCAAATCGGTAGTACTTGTTGCGGTCAATGGGCGGCGCTTTTGTTTTATTTAACGACGTCCGTTTTTCCGTTTCTATGACCGTATCATATACATACATGTAAGCATGCATGTCACTTGTATGTATGCATGTATGTTGCGTGTAATTAAGTAGCTAACATCGAAACGAGCGGTCTGAAACGGTATTAAAAGCAGTCTTTTCATTTCTTGCTGAGCTCACTGCATCACTCTGTGACAGACAGCAAAGCTCCTCTCCCCATAACGTGGCGATAATCCCATCCCACTGATCGCTCCAATTTGCCAATTGTTACATTAATTATTATTATTATTTACATTAATTGGTATTTAATGAATTGAACCGGTTTTTGTCCAAGAACGGTCACATTAGCCAAGGGCCAAATTCAAAAGCAAACGAGAAAAACCAAAAAGCGCAAAGTCAACAGAAAAGAAAAGAGTAAGAAACCAAATGATATCGGAAAATTCACAGGCAGCACCACGTGGTTTGTGACACTTATGGAGCGGAGGATGAATCTTTCGTTCGCCGGCTGCGGCTTCTTGGGCATCTACCACGTGGGCGTGGCCGTGTGCCCCAAGAAGCACGCCCCCCAACTGCTCCTGGAGCGGATTGGGGGTGCCTCGGCCGGGGCCCTAGCCGCTTGCTGCCTGCTCTGCGACCTGCCCATTGAGACAATGGCCGCCGACTTCCTGCGGGAGTCCCTTCTGCGGGGAGAGCGACATCTGTCCGCGGGACCGCTGCTCGCACCTGTTCCACCTGAACATTAACTGGGCCAATACTTGCATCCGAATCTCGCGGCCCAATCTGCGGCGTATGTTGCGAATCGTACTACCGGGCCGGGCCGAGTTCCTCTCTTCCTTCTGCCAACAGGGCTATGACGACGCCCTATATTTCCTCAACCGCAACAATCTCATCGGACGCCTGCAGAAGTGGTACCAGTGCCAAGAGCACCTCCTGCCGCAAGCGGTCCGCGACACCATCGACGGCTACGGCTACATGGAGCAGGCCAACAAGGAGCTCGGTCAGTGGCTCTCACATCCACAGTCGGGCATTCAGCTATTCTGCCTGTCCTGATTTTCAAGGACCTAAGGAACATGGAGCTGGCCCATGAGATTGCCCTGAATCCGGAATTCAAGCTGAAACAGTATGAACCGCCAACGCACAGGTGAGCAGTGGGATTGCCCTCTTTACGTACGACCAGTTCCCATCTAATCCCCCAAATCGTTGCAGCTTTGAGGGGCGCGTCAAGGCCATGGTGCACAAGGCCTACTGGGATGTATTGCGCACGCAGCTGGAGCGCCAGCCGCCCCAGTACGACCAGGCAATACGCCTGCTTGCCGAGATCAAGGAGTGTATTCCCCAGCTGGTCACACCCAACGAGCGCACGCTGGTGCGAATCAACGAGGTGCTGGACACCGACGTCATCAGGCAGCAGGCGGAGCAGGGCGTGCTCGACTTCAAGTCCTATGCCGATTTTGTGATTCTCATTCTGTCGCAATCGTGCAGTGCCGCCCGGGATGAGGCGGTGGCCGAGCTAAGCAAGATGGACGATGTAGTAGACACCTTCCGCAGCATTCTGGAGCTGATGGCGATGATGAAGCTGGACATGGCCAACTTCATGCTGGAGCTGGCCCGAAAGGAAATCTCCGCCAATTCGGTGCAGTACGAGAAGGAGAAGCTCAGCAAGTATCTGCACGAATTCCATGGCAATGGTTAGTATATCGTCCGTGGAAGCACTCCCACTCTTACACCAGTCCCATAAAATCTCTTATTTATTTCATTGGTCGGATCCCCAGTTGGTTTCCCGGCCACTGAGGACTGGCTGCAGCGTAATCGCTCTGATGTGACAAGGACAAGGAGCGCTTTGCGGGTATAAGCTGGCGGGCCCAGCGCCTGATCCTGTGCGCCTCGCTCATCTCGATTGCCCAGAGCCCCCCAATTATTTCGCAGCGTCCCAATAACCGTGCGAAGCTAGCCAAGCAGCTGGAAATCATTATGCAGGATGTCAAAAATGAAACGTGAGTCATTCACTCAAATTTCCGCGAAGCTGCAGCAGCATTTTCCCTTCAACTTTTACAGCCAAGTGGCCGCTGCTCTGGAGAGCTGCTACGAGCAGATCCGCTGCCTGGTGAACAGCGCCCTGTCGCAGGAGCAACAGCCGGATATGGACGAGGCTACCTTGGCGAGCCTGAAGAGCCAGCTGATGCAGCTCAGCAACAAACCTCACCAGTGCGCAGTCTCATGGGTGAGTTAGTGGCTCAATCCTCTCGAGAAGTTTCTCCTCTATCCCTTTCATTCCCTTTGTTCGTATTGCCCAGCCAAGCGCTTCTATCTCTTTGTCCGTGTGTCGTTGCGCGCCGACAACCACATTCCACCTCCGCCCGCCGGCTTCAAGGAATTTGAGGCGGAGCTGACTGCACTTATATCGTCGATACTGCGCTTGATATCCTACAATCAGTTCTTCAAAATCTTGGGAAAGACAACTCCCAGCGCTCCGGAGTCGACGTCCGAGCCTGCCGCAGCCACACCTATTAATGGCATTGCACAGGTGACCAACCCTTAAAAAAGGTAATGTGGGACCCTGGACCTGGACCTACAGACGCCGAGAAAAAAAAATATAAATGTTAACACCCAAAAAGGACAATGAAGGATGCCGCGAAAAAAGGAATGTCTACTGGTATTATAGCACTGGAAACGCTATAGACCCCGAAAACTGGAAAAGGAGAAGTGAGGATGGTGACTAGGAGAAGGAAACGCCGTGCCCATTGAACTCAACTATCCATTCTTAGCTCTTTAAACATGTATATTCAAAAAGATAAATATCTTTGATTTGGATCATAATTAATATAATTTGAAAGTCAATCAACAGACACACTTGCAAACACCAAGAAACCAAACACACCAAACACCACACCCGAGATCCGAAAAGGAAAATGTGCTGGAGCCTCTGTGATAAGATGGAATATATAAAATGTAAACTATGCATATAGTACATATGGGGCTATATGAACACTGGCTCGCGTGCTATTCACCCAACTCTGACAGCATTAGAACGGTCAATAATTAATCATATATTGTTTAATACATACCTAGTATACTTATGTAATACCTAATCTAGCATTAAGCCCGATTCAAATTGTAACCCCACTGATTGTTAGTCGAATGTAGTTGCAGGTTCTATTGATCTGGTGTGTTCGCGGCAAGAGTCCTGAGAGGAGTAGGTATGGGACTTAGAACCGATAATGATTACTCACAAACTTACATATTTATTACACATGAATGCATCATACATATATATGCATCTATTCAGATATTCGTAGTTAAGTTGTATGCAAATTGAGCTAAATCCTGACTCACAACGATTAAATAAAAGTTATTCAATTCGATTTGATTGTTAAATGCCTAGGAAAGATGGTATTTCGATCTTAAACGCAGAACACTTGGGACAGCTTATCTTCAGCTGATCCTTTGGTGCTCCGAATCTCTGGTGTTCACTTGGAAGACGAGAGCCAGGTAGACGATTTCCATAGACGACTGTTTTGCTTCCTGTTCTTGGAATTATAGGTGTTAGCGTGGATCGGTACATTGGCATTTAATATCTTCAAAGTATTAGATATGCATGTATGACAAAGATAGGTACATCACAAAGGTACATGGCTTTGGATACAGAACGTTTCGAAAGGAGAAACTGATTGCTATGAAAACTGAATTTGTAAAACTTCACAAGACAATAGCTAAGGTAAAGCCTACAGAATTTTCTTATAGCTAAACTAAATATACCCTTGCTGAGAGCATTCTCTTATGAGCAGATGAAGAACAGAAAACCGACTCCATGAAGGGTCACACATATAAGTGTCGTCTATCGGGAAGAAAAACCAAGTCCAATCGGTCCACCAGTGTTCTATGTATTTCTAAACAAGAGATTCTTGGGGTTAGTCACGGTAACGACTACGGTTCTTGTACATTAAATAAAAGAAAGAACCAATTACAAAGTTTATGGAAAACTAAAACATATTAAAAAAGGCAATTCTAAAGATTGGGTCGATACCAGGTCACATCCCCTTTGGCGCAGCCCGTGACGAGTAGGGGCTCCCGGGGACTGAACTTGGCACAGAGCACCGCATCCTGGTGCTCTTTCAGGTGTGCCAGTACCACCATTTGGCGTGGGCTCTGCTTCCCCTTCTCGAACGTCGTGTAGATGGGATAGTCGCTGCAGTCGGCGCTGTAGCCCAAGAGGCGCACGCCATTGTCGTAGGGCGAGCAGATTATACGACCGTCGACGGAGAAGCCCGGCTCCTTGATGTAGGTAGGCTTGACGTTCGCCTCGGAAATATAGTACATGAGCTTTTTGGATTTCGGTTCTGGGTCCACAAAGGGACGACGCGCTAGGCGATGGCGTTGGCTTGCCGGTATCGCCTGACGCAATGGCAAGACCTCACTGCTAATGGCATGCACTGAATTATATGCAGTTGGGCGTATGGCACGCTGTTGGACGGTTAACTCGGCTGCCCAGATGTCGCGCGGAAAGCTTTCGGGTTGTTCATGCAGATGCTGTGCGTGTGCGGCGGCTCCACCACGGCCGTTAGTTGTATTATAGTTCGATATGCGGCGTGTCGGAGGCGTCGAAGACCCGTCTTGGCCGCTGCCAGAGGCACTGGCTGCACGACCGGAAGTGCTGGATGGGTGGCGTTTTTTCATGTTGGCCACGTCCTCGTTAATGTCGTGTATGCATGTCCACTCTCGATTCTCATCGTAGCTCACACGCGTCAGCATGCAGCGGGAGTTCGGATGAATCTGCAGGGCCAGTATCATATCGGCATCGTTGCGCTCCGGAAAATCTGTGACCAGCTCCACGCGGTTCCTCTTCTGGCGCCTCGAGAACAAATGATCGAATTTGGCCGCCACTGGTATGTACTGATCGACCACCTGCATGAGACGATAGACGCCAGGTTTGAAGCCACTGAGGTCATCGTTTAATGTGGTCAAGTCCAGGCGATGGATGACCATGATGTATCCACCGCTGGTGCACAGCACCAGTTTGTCCCCCATCGGGGAGATGCGGCATCTCAAGAGGCCACTGACATGGAATACGCGCTCTGAGATGAGGCCCTGTTCCGTGTACGAGGCGGTGTCCCAGGTCAAGATGCTGCCATCGAAGCTGGAGGTGACTAGCAGCTTGTCCTTGGGCGAGTACTCGATGTTCTTCACCCAATTGGAATGGCCATGCAAGACACGAAGCTTTTCGCGCATGTTGCGCAGGTCCCACATTGCGACGGTTAAATCGTCAGAGCCCGTAGCAAAGATGCGCGCGTCGACGAACTTGATGCAATTGACGCAGTCGGTGTGGGCATCGGGTACCTTGAAAATTTCCTTCTGTGTGATGGCATCGAACACCAACACGGACTTCCGCTCGGTGGCGGCCACCATTACATTTCCATCGGCATTGAATTCCAGATTAAAAATGGCTCCACCGACGCGTACAGGCTCGCCGGATTCCTGGTTGGTATGATAGCTGTTAAACATGTTTATGCTTGTGTATATGCGACGCATTATGAAGTTCTCATCTCCCCACGATTGGAAGCCACGCTCGCGCCGACTTAGATATTGCTCCATAGTTATAATTTTCATGCCAGGATCAAACGAAAAAGTAAAAACTAAAAATGGCCGGCCAACTCAACCAGCAAATCGGTAGTACTTGTTGCGGTCAATGGGCGGCGCTTTTGTTTTATTTAACGACGTCCGTTTTTCCGTTTCTATGACCGTATCATATACATACATGTAAGCATGCATGTCATATGTATGTATGCATGTATGTTGCGTGTAATTAAGTAGCTGACATCGAAACGAGCCGTCTGAAACGGTATTAAAAGCAGTCTTTTCATTTCTTGCTGAGCTCACCGCATCACCCTGTGACAGACAGCAAAGCTCCTCTCCCCATAACGTGGCGATAATCCCATCCCACTGATTGCTCCAATTTGCCAATTGTTACATTAATTATTATTATTATTTACATTAATTGGTATTTAATGCATTGAACCGGTTTTTGTCCAAGAACGGTCACATTAGCCAAGGGCCAAATTCAAAAGCAAAAGAGAAAAACCAAAAAGCGCAAAGTCAACAGAAAAGAAAAGAGTAAGAAACCAAATGATATCGGAAAATTCACAGGCAGCACCACGTGGTTTGTGACACTTATGGAGCGGAGGATGAATCTATCGTTCGCCGGCTGCGGCTTCTTGGGCATCTACCACGTGGGCGTGGCCGTGTGCCTCAAGAAGCACGCCCCCCAACTGCTCCTGGAGCGGATTGGGGGTGCCTCGGCCGGGGCCCTAGCCGCCTGCTGCCTGCTCTGCGACCTGCCCATTGAGACAATGGCCGCCGACTTCCTGCGGGTGGTGGGCGAAGCGCGTCGACACCCGCTGGGCCCGTTTAGCCCGTGGTTCAACCTGCAGAGATGCCTACTTGAGGGGATGCAGCGTGAACTGCCCGAAGACGCGCACCGGAGGGTGAGCGGGCGGCTGCGCATCTCACTGACGCGTGTGCGGGACCGGTGCAATGTGGTGATGTCAGAGTTCGGGTCGCGCCAGGAGCTACTGCAGGCCCTGCTCTGCTCCTGCTTTATTCCGGGCCTCTCTGGACTGATACCGCCGCAGGTGCGGGGCGTCCGCTACATGGACGGCGCCTTCTCGGACAACCTGCCGCTGCTGGACGAGGACACGGTTACGGTGAGTCCCTTCTGCGGGGAGAGCGACATCTGTCCGCGGGACCGCAGCTCGCACCTGTTCCACCTGAACATTAACTGGGCCAATACTTGCATCCGAATCTCGCGGCCCAATCTGCGGCGTATGTTGCGCATCGTACTACCGGGCCGGGCCGAGTTCCTCTCTTCCTTCTGCCAACAGGGCTACGACGACGCCCTATATTTCCTCAACCGCAACAATCTCATCGGACGCCTGCAGAAGTGGGACCAGTGCCAAGAGCACCTCCTGCCGCAAGCGGTGCGCGACACCATCGACGGCTACGGCTACATGGAGCAGGCCAACAAGGAGCTCGGTCAGTGGCTCTCACATCCACAGTCGGGCATTCAGCTATTCTGCCTGCCCTCCGCCCTGATCACCGCTGCCGCTAGACTCGCTCCGCCGCTGGCAAGGCAAGTCGTCCGAATGATCGGGCGGCGCCTCAGCCAGTCGCTGACGTTATGCGAGCAGCCGCACTTTGATCTAGGCCTGCTGATGATGCACTGCAGCTCTGTAGCTCCGCTGCCGCCGCCGCCACCGCTGCCTCGGACACGACATTCTATTGATAACGTTGACGCCGATGGAATCAAGGTTCCACAAATATTGGACTCTGGGAAAGGGGAGGAGAATGACGGTCACTGCGATCGTGTAAGCTCTGGCTCTGCCTCTGCCGCACCACTACCCCCGCCCGACACAGCCCTCGCCAGGCCAGACTAAGACGCCACCCGATTTATCAGTGGTCGACAATCTCTATCGGGGTCAACTGTGCTTCAATTTGATTTCGCAAGTTTTGTTGTTTTATATTTATATTTTCTGTGATTATCCCGTTTCAAGAATCCCTCCCCTCTCTTATCTGGTACAAAGAGCAAATGTGTGCAAGTAAATGCTGCCATCTATTTCACTTTAGGTGCCAAAACTGCTAGCTGCTGGCTGCTTGCTCTGAAAATGCTTTGCTATGATAGTTGTATGTGTGTCTCATATGTACATATGTATATACTAAATAAAATTTGTATTGATTCTCAATTCTGCGTTCTAGGCTTAAAGAATGTGAAAGCTCGCTGCTCTGACACCAAAATATGAATAAAGAAAAATAAATGATAAAAATATGTATAATTATTATAAATACAAATGTTTAATTATAAGATTAAAGATGTAATCCCAAGGAAAGCCCAATCTTTGATAAAAAAAATTTAACTATTTTTGGAAAATCTCTATTTTACAATTTACTGTGTCTTTAAATTTGAAATATCCTAAAATATATACATACGTTCATATGTACGTACTACGTATGTAGTTATATGTAAAATACTAAAATCACACTTATTTTGGCCGTTTAAACGAAGCATAACAAATATCTAATCCATAATCCAGTGAAAACACTCGTTAAGAAACATTCTTATTTGGGCGACTTCACCCTTGGGCAAACCGAGCCAGACGGATCCATAACTGATCCAAGGTTTCGTCGGCTCTCGGCGCTTCCTAATAAGTGAGAGGGAGAATGGGAAATTGACGCAGACACGCTTCCTCTCCCCAACAAGATGAGAAAGACAGTGCGAGAGCAGAGCTCGGAATATTTCACACACATAATAACAGTAAAAAAAAAAGAAAGAGAGAATCATAGGAATCACGCCACTGTCTGTACTTTGCCCTCTGTCGCAGTCGAAGACTCACTCACTCGCACTTTTGCTGATTGCTCAATGCCACGCATCTTCCGCTGCCTCTCTGGCCGCCCCTACAGCCAGTATGGGACAGTGCTCATCCTGAGGCATCATCACTTACCCCAGCCCTCCGCTCGTCATCTCCTCTTCATTGCGCTCTTTGGGCGTATAAAGTCATTCATTTTTTTGCTTAAACATCAAAATTTGTGATTACGTTTATAGTTGGAACGCCTTTATGGGTCTCACGATCTCGTTCTCGTTCTCGCTCTTTCTCACTCTTTGATAAGAAGTGTCGGTGGTGTACGAGTTACCAGTTGCCAACTGGCTACTACCCCCCGAACACCCGCCCCGCAACAAACATGCTCGTGCATCGTCATCGCGGGGTTGGAAAGCGAGAATGGATCCAAAGTCGAAGCCCACTTTAACATTCATCCATTGCTATATTTTGCGGTTGGTAATTCTATCAAATCACCATCACGGCGCTGTGTGGACTGAAGTATAGCTGATAAGTATAGTTTGCTCGTCTATCGTATCCACTGATAGTATAGTACCATTCAGACAGTAAATATGGTAAAATACAAGTTATTTTCCAACTTTCTTTTAAACTCTAACTGTAACCACCAAAATCCAGTTTCATCAGCATTGAAAACATGGAAAGTATCCTCTTCAATTCGCTCTGATTCCTTGAAATTCTTGGCGCTTCTAATTTAATTTGCATGCCATGAATGGAGAAATTTTTTTTTTAATTTTTAAATTGCCCACTAAATAAAATCTGTGCTGGAAGATGCATCTCCGTTTTGCTTGAGCAGTTCATAGAACCAGAGGTTCATTGGTGACTGATTCACTGGCTTAAAAGAGCTTTCATCTATCATAATGCGAAGTGCTCTTTCCATTTCGCAATGTCTTGCTGTCTCCCAGAAAACATTTTCTTTCGCCAAAGAGTCGCAGACGACTCGTCAAGAAGTTCAATTTGATCGCCCGCGAAATCGCATTCTGATCTTTATTTGGGACAAAGTGACATTTCCAGAAGAGTCGGAGGAGAGTCTTTTGGAAGTTCCAGAAGGATCACCTGAGAGACACCTAATAGAATCGCAGAAGAGTCGCTCAGAAGGTTCGCCGGAGAGTCTCCTAAACACTAAAATATTTTCTTTTCATATGCATTAAGGTTAATCAAAATCAATTATTCATAGGTTATACGTACATATTTAGCTTTTAAAGTTACGTACTAAACCATAGAACAATTATTTTGTTCAACATCTGGAAAGTATAATCAATTATTATCACTTGATCACTATTCCTTTGATCACTAACATTAGTTTCACTTCCTATAAAAGAAGAATACAAACATACATAAAAAAAATTTTATGTTTTCTTACTTTCCGGACTTTTTTATAGAAATATATAAATGCTTACACATACTTAGTTTATAAACATTTTAATTTAACTAAATTGTACAGCGCGTACCTCAAGTTGGGCTCACCTTCTGAAAAACTTTGCACTCTAGCATTTGATAGTGTCAAAAGTGGAAGTATCGCTTAGTCCAATGCTCTAAGAACGAGGTTTGAGCGCGAAAAAATAGGGCAGGGAGCATATTGAGAAACGTGTTAGACCTAGTTCTTGTTTGGCGAGGACTCTGCATAGTTTCATAATGATGCGGATAATATTCTTGATGGTGTCCTTATTCGCCAAAATATAAAAAACGAGGGGGAACGTTGTGAGTTGCTGCGGACACCGCAACTCTACAGTTATACCCGATACTACTCGTAAGTCAGTATGGCTCTCCTCCGGCAGACGCCGCTAATATTAAACGACACGACAAAGAGTGCGTACGAGAGAGACAGAAAATCAGTCTGAGCGTGACGTCGGGCGCTGCGTAGCCACTGAAAATTGTTTTTTTTCTTTTCGGCTATAAAAATTATCCGATCTGATCCAAATTCAGCAACTGGATAGATATGGTCATTCTCTATGATTCTGCGTTTTTAGTTTTCTCGAATCTGCAATATTGTGGATGCAACAGATTTTCGTCTTTTGTGGAGGCGGATGGGGGTGGGGCGAAATTCTGAGATATACGTTTCATAGTGAGATCTAAGAGAAGTGCGGATACCAAATTTAGTTACTCTAGCCTTAATAGTCTCAGAGATTTGTGGATGCCCCAGATTTTTGTCCTTTGCGGGGGCGGAAGGGGGTGTGGCGAAATTTGGACACGAAACGGTCAAGGTCCGATATCACAGGAGTGTGGATACCAAATTTGGTTACTCTAGCTCTTATGGGTTCTGAGATCCTTGAACTCATATTTTGCAATTGGCAAAACCGACCATGAAACCTGTGTGTTAGAGAGAGACAGAGCGAGAAAGAGTGAAATTGTTTTCTTGATTCTGGCTATAATAATTATACGATCTGGTTCAGATTTTGCACTCTAGAAGATATAGTCATCTTCTACGATTCTACTTTTTTAGTTTTCTCGTATCGTTGAAATTGTGGATGCCACAGATTTTCGCCCTTTGTGGGGGCGGAAGTGGGCGGGGCAAAGTTTTGAAATATTTTTGTAGCAGTGACATATCACTGAAGTCTGGATCCAAAACATCGTTGCTCTAGCTCTTATAGTCTTTGAGCATTAGGCGCTGAAGGCGACGGACAGACGGACGGACGGACAGACGGACAGACGGACAGACAGACATGGCTCAATCGACTCGGCTATTGATGCTGATCAAGAATATATATACTTTATGGGGTCGGAAACGATTCCTTCTGGACGTTACAAACATCCACTTTTACCACAAATCTAATATACCCCAATACTCATTTTGAGTATCGGGTATAAAAACCACTTTGGAACGCTGTAAAAAGGTCCTGGAGCTCGATTTTCATATAGAGATACCAAAATTTGGTTAACCCCATGCCAATTTTCGATGGAACTGACTTAAAAATTCTTCCAGTACGCCCTGGACAGAGTGTCGAAGGGGCAAAAACAAATTAAATTTAATTCACTAATCTAATTCATCTATTCATTGTACTATACAAATTAAAAATTAAAATTAATTCAAACTATACTACAAATTATTAAAATCAAAAATCATTGTGCGTCCCTTTTCATATTACTTTCGGCTCGCAAAAGATATCACAAAAGATGTCATAAGGGGCTCGCAAGCGATATTGTAAAAGATATCATAAAGGACTCGTAAACGACATTGCAAAATCCTTGCAGACAATATTGTAAAAGTCTCGCAAAAGATATCATAAAAGGCTCGCAAAAGATCCGTTTTTGAGCTATCGGAAATGAAACTTTCACTGCAACAAAATGAGCGACTAGTGATTTTCTTATCGTTTTCAGATCTTAATTCGATAGTTTTACACGGCTGAGTTTCGCGTAACTCTCGTTTGCGATATCGTTTACGAAGTTTTGGTCCACAGTGTACATATGTATGTATGTATGCATGCACGCGTGTGTGTACATGGTATACGGGATACCAGACTACTTTGAGTTCCCTCTAGGCGGATGGGAAATGGGAATACCTGTTTTAAGGGTATACAAAGAATGCACATATGTATAAATGTATGGATGCATGTAGTATATACATATGTACCATGAACATATTAGCTATCTGCGGTTGGTAGTTCCATCATCGGCACTACGACCATTATGATCATTAAGCTGCGGTTTCGGGAACTGGTTTCAGTCAAACCGATGAGTATTCATCGTTCTATAGGGTTCGGTTTGGATTTTGGTTTGGCTCTGGCAAGAAATAACAAAACCACAGACTACCTTTTCTGGTAGTCCCCTTCCTTGTGCATTCTCACTCATGAATATTTCTCTGCCTTAAATGCAATTCTCAAATATTTCTGGTTGTAGCTCAAAATTATTCCAAGTATGTCAAGGATGGTACGAGTATGAGATCGACCGGATCGATTGATTCTACATGCAGACGGGCTGTGGACTGGGCTGTGACTGAAAGTCGGAGACGTAGACATGCCATGTTCTTGTTGGGGGCACAATTAAAATTGATCGAAGCAGGCAAACACCGAGCATACAAATGAGGGGCATCAGACGAAGATGGAGCGAAGGAGGCAACCAGACAGACAAAAGAGAGAGGCGCAGATTGAGGGAATAGGGGAACAACCGAAATGAAAAGAAAACGCAGAGACGCCGACGACGGGTTCCCCCATTCTGCAAACAGATAATTGGTTGGCCATTAACGCCGTCATTATCGACATGTCATGTGGAAGGTCCACAAGCCACTCAGTTTCCAGATCAGGGACGGTCATTCTCCCAAATTCGACGCAAGTGCACCCAATGCGATATCCTCTGTACTCAAAATATCAACGAATTCTACTGCTTTGAATTGCCATAACCATAACACAGATTTTCTTGTAGTCAGCTCTGAAACGCAGCCTTTCATACACAAATGTACCCATATGTATAGCCGATGTACGAGGGCTGTTCAATAACTGACTATGAATGAAATGTTGCGTGTGTGGGGGCAATTCATAGCCTAATTCATGGAAATTTTCCAAGGAAACTACACATGTGTGCACCTGTAAGAGACATTGTCCCGGTAAAAACTAATTTTGTTCTAGGCCAAATGCGGTCGTTTCGTTTTCGAAACCTCATTAAATCGACATAATACGTTGGCATAATATTCCCCATTGATGGTTTTACCCTGTTGATGGTAGTCAATGTGGATAGAACCGCGGGCATCCCCAAAACCGGTTTCAGCCTGAGAAACCCACCGTTATGATTGCTGCTTGGTCTCTGGTATGTTTTGGTAGATCCTCACTTAATCCACGGTTACGAGACAGCGCATAACCTCATCCTGATTGTTGTTACACTACGCCAGACACTCCTGCGAAGTTGTGATCGCTTGTGAGCAAACGCGGCAGTTATCTTGCGTAAAGCTTTCTCATATCCAAGTGATCATTCAAAATTAAAACCACTGAGCCCAATGATATGCCTATGGCCTAATCCAAACTTGGTCTGTACAATGACTGCACCATCAAGTGGCCCATGTGACACCAGCAGAAGTCTGTTACGCGAGAATCACAGGCAAAAACGCAGCCCGTGTAAAATTCAAATTCAAAAAGTCTCGGACTTGTTAAACAGCGCTCATATAGTGTGGACCTATGGAACACATCTTATCTGGAACCCGAGTGTGCTCCATAAATTCATTCGATGCAGGGCTCCGGCAATTGCTGAACCGCGCACTACACTATCATATAAATCAGCACTCTCCGAGCAGCCAGCTGCCCCGATAAGGCCACAACTTGTGGTACATATGCACATATGTACATACGTGGTTGTAAAATTGCCTGTATAAGCATTTATGTCCCTTGGTTCTAACGCTTATCGTTCAACTGCGTTGAGTGGAGGAAATGGGAGAATAATCAAAAAACAAATGGGGGATTTTCTCGTTCTTCGTTCCAGTTTTGCGTTGCTTGTTTATTAATATTTAACATTATAATTATCATAATTATTAAGAGCGGACTTTATGGCTACGTTCTCCATACATGGGTACAATATGCGTGTGTTGAGGCATAATCCATATTCATTAGTAATTAGGCATCATCTGGCTGGGTTCTCAGCCAGTTCCCATGCAGTACAAGTTAAATAAAAGTAGAGTAACATATGTATAACGAGTACGTATAGCTAAGGCACATATGGGTGCGTGCATGCGTGCGTATATATAGATATATGTATATATATCATATCTGTATGGTAGGTTTTTATATGGTTTACCACTTATTCTTTATTCAATGCATACGTGGCACTTAGAGGCCGCCTTTGGAGGCACCTTCTCGAATTTAGCACAGCTAAAGTGGACAAAAAAAAACGTTTCCTTCCTTCCTCGGGGCTCGTTCCTTCTTGCCTTAATGACTAAAACTTAATCTTTATATAGAGCATATATGTATATATATGTATTGTGTGTGAGTGTGAGGGTTACTTCAAATAAATATTTACAAAGCAAACATTGGCGGGGGTGGGTGTTTTAAGGGCATGGGGGCGGGGGGCTACAACAGTCTAAAATGATTTAGCAAAAAACCTTCTCCACTTTGATGATGATCACTATCCAAATTTTTCTTGGACAGGTTTTAGCTACAAAAATTAGCAAAAAAAAAAAAGAATAGAAAATACAAAAATGGGCGGCGTGTGAGGGTGTTGGGGCGTGGGTATGGTTAATATATGTAATATCTAGCAAATAGATATACAAATAACTGGGCTCCAGCGAAGGTCTTCCGAAGTATCTTGCTTTCTTACAGAATCCTTACTGAACCGATGAGGACGCTGGTTTGCTCTTGGCAACTTTGGGCTTGGACACAGCCGCCGAGTTGGGTTTCGAGTTCGAGCTGTTGGTGGCGGCGGTGGTGGTAGTATTGCTGGTGCTACTCGATCCATAGGGCGAACAAGTTTCCCCGAGTGTCGACTGCTCGACATTTGTGCCCATCGACGAATTGATAAAGTTAATGTACTGATGCAGCTTGAGTGCGGCTATCAGAGAGCTCAGATAGTCGTTGATGTTGCCCTTTTGGACCTGCTTGATCTGTCGGGAGACATTTCGATAGACGCGACGAGAGATCTTGTTGGATAGTCGGCCAACGGTCTGGACTGTGTGTAAGACTGGATCCTCGCTGGCGGAAACTGGCACTGCAATGAATAGAGGAATACGACGACATTAGTTGGGGCTTCTAGTTCTCTTTTGACAATCTGCGTGAAAACATTCGGGTCGGAAGATGGGTTTAGGTGCATGGGATGGGTTAGATCGTTGGTGGGGTGTTGCGTGCTTACCATAAACTTGTTGAGTTCCCTATCGATAATGCCTATGATCTCTGGGTTTCTTCTAACGTACTCAACAATTTCAGTTATGATTTTCAGGGACATGGATAGGAAAACCGTAGAGGCGGCCACTAAGAATCTATCATCAATCTCTCGATCGTGATCGTAGTCGTAGCTCTCCCCAACAACCACCACTAACAAACAGCACAGAAAGAGAGAGATAGAGAGAAAGATTAAGTTAGAAAATTAGTCATCTATGCAACAGTTAATTAAGGTTAATTTTGAGTGGGTTGTGGGTGTCTTGGACTAGGACAGGTATTCAAATCTAACCATAGAAAAGTTTCCTCCAACCGTAAATTAGAAATACGTCAGTTTTTCTTTAGCTTTTTCTCATCTTTTGATGTTATGGGAAGGCAGTAGAATAAGGGGATTTGTAAGGGTGTAGGGTGAGTGTGATTTCCATCCGATTATAAGTATTAGCCCCCAATATTAGTCTTTATGCATGCGTATTGCTTCGTAGTTGGGACAGTGTTAGTGTTAGGAACAAACGAACAGAGGAAATATCAAATTGATCGCAGACAGGCAAGCGATGGCAGTAGGGAACAAGACTTACTGTCATTTTCGGAACTCTTGCCATTTTGCACGACGACATTTTGTTTATCATCTGAGAATTAAAAATATTTACGATTTATTTTTAGCATTTTGTTTACACACCATGAGGCAAAGAAAACATATCAAGCAGATTAATTTCGGGGCAAAATGGAGATGGAAGCTAGCCAAAATGCCGCCCAGGCATCAGTATTAGCATTATATCATAAGATGGGGCGTCGTCATCGTCTGTCCGCCAGAGCCCACCATTAATGGATGAATGGATTAATGAATGGATGGACAGATGGATCGGACATCAAGGATCAAGCCGGAGACATCACCAGACCAGATCAGATCATCAGCACTCACCGTTATCCTCCTCCACATCCGACTCGCTCTTGGGGAAGTAGTACTCAAGGAGGCGCTCGGCTAGGGCTGTGGTGGTGTCCACTCCGTTGACGGCCAGGCTGCCGTACTGGGTGGCCAGCACCTCGTTAGCCTTCTGCCAGGCGAGATCCTTGAGGGAAGCGGCCTTCTGTTGGCCGGCTGCCTTGAACTTGACCACGCGTTCCAGGTGCGGCTGTACCACATCGATCACCTTGCTCTTGGCCTGGTTGTAGATCTCTTGGGGCGTGTCCTTGATTATCGGTGCCTTCACCTCCAGCTTATCGATGCCCTTGACGAGGGTTTGGTCCACGAACGAGATCGGGCGATCCAATTTAGTCACATACGGCGCCGCCGTTGTCACGGCCCGGGTCACGCAATCCTCGGCTGCCGTCAGCGCCCATTCGAAGACGCGATTCTTGCCTATAAATAAATCAATTGGACAGTTTTTGCACATGAAACTTCTGGAATTATAGACATATGTACATATGCATGTATGTATGTGTATATGTACATACGCGTAGTGCCAGGGCATGTCAGATAAGCCGGCCACTTATCAGCAGCCGCAGCAACAACAACAGGGGGAATGTCACTTTTGACTGATAAGAAACTGCGCAGTATGTACTTGTAAGGCATCTCCCCTAGAGCTAGGCTCCATCTATCTCTATTTATTTGTGTGTGTGTATCTATCTATTCGTCTGACAAGTTTAGACTTTGATAGTTCGTCATACAGAAAACAAGACTATTCCACCAACAACAAGAAAAAAACCACAGAAGCACCGCAATATTAATTCTGCGGTGTGTAAGTGTGTGCAATAGCAAACGAAATATCACAAACAAGTCGAAAGTCCAACTAAAGTTCGGTGTGGGAAAGAGATGGAGGTACAGGGAGCAAGACAGTGGCGTGGGCCGACAGGGTGACCGTACCGCTACGCGAACCAACATCGCGTCTGGCGGCTCAGATTGCAGTTCAATGTGCGAAAGAGACAGAGGCATAAGGATCCAGACAGAGGCGTGGACCAACAGGGTTCTCCGACTGCATGCCCACCATTTTACAATCCCCCGTCATACGAGGCGACTCTGATTGCAATCATTAAATATGTGTACCCACACACATGTGCATGCCCTTTGTGTTCGTGTGTGTATGAAACGTTTCAGTCTACGTGTTGTTTGCCTCTGCTCTTCTCTCTTCTCTTTTTGGATTTTATTTGCCGTTTTCTTTTCGATTTTGCCAAGTTTTGTTATGTAAATTTGAGCGAACTTTGATCGCAAAGCGTCACGAGGGCAAAGTACCGCACAAAAAATAGATATTTGTACATACCTTCCACCTCCCACTTTTCTTTGTGGTTCTTGCTAGGTCATGGTTGTTGTTGCTGTCACGTCGGCTGTGATTTTGATTATTAGCTACTAGCAATCAATTAACATCAATTGAGTTTAATTTTGGCCCATTGTCGGGCAATCAAAAAAATGTATGGTTCGGCTTTGGCTGTGCCCGCATTCGAATTCAAACACGATTTTGGCACTCAAAATGGCGATCAATGCACTCGAAAGTCGAAGCAACGGTGATCGTTTTCGGTTTCAATTGCATTTGCTTTTGCTCTATTCGCTGCTGCTACTGCTGGAGAGCTAGTGTCATTGGGCCTGGCAATGCCGTAAAGCGGTGCACCGTTACTTGACCGGCCGAGAGTTCAATGCACGCAAAGGGGAATCGCAAGCAAATTGTTTTATGAATTCCACTTACCTTTAACTTTGCCGTAGACATCCTGCGATTTGTCCCAGGCCGCATTCACCACAGGTAGCTTGATGATGCGCTCCAGCGACTCCAGATGAGGCAGCAGATCCTTGGCATCCTTGGGCTGCTGTTCCTGTTCGGAGAGAACGCTGTTGATTTTGTTGCTGCTGTTCTTGGCAGTTCCGTTGCTGCCTGTGGCGTGTTTTTGCTCTGCACTGGCCATGTTTCTTTTTCTGTTTCTTGGTCTTTGCTTAGTTTTCACTTCTTTTCTGTTAGCTCTTTTGCTTGGCGCGGCACTTTTTCTCCTTTCTTTCGTTTGGTTTTTTTTTGGAGGAGCACAAAAAAAAACAGTTCAGTTTTGGTGTGTCTGCGTTTCTTTTTGTTCACCGGTTAAAGAACTTCGACGAAGGCGAGGGGCGTGAGACTGAAGAATTTTTATGTTTTTATGCGATTATTGAAATTACGTCTGTTCGCTGGGGCTTTTTAGGAATTTATAGATAATTTTTTTTTGATAATATATTGGTAAGTTGTATTTATTTGTCGGAAATATCAGTATGGATGTTTCTGTAAGATGAATCAACGGAACAACCCTCCTGCTTTTCTGAATTCGGTTAAAAGCGCTATGAAATATTGAGGCATGCACAGTCCTCTATATATCACCACCGCCGCACCCGAACCCGAGAGCGGCACCGAGCCGAGAGCAAGACCGATCAAAGAGAAAAAAAAGAGAGCAATGCTCAGTTTTGCGTTTCATTTGAGCGAGTCAAAATAACTTTGATATCGGCTATTATTTTAGGATAAATATGATACAATTTTCTTTTAGAAATATATATATATATTTTATTTTAATATTTACTGTCAATACTATGGTTTTTAATTTGTAAAGTTTAAGCTGCTCGGCTGGTTTATTACGAGTCGAGCGACTGCCGTGCCTCCGATCGCTGATCAAGAAAAGAGAGAGAGAGAGATCTGCATTTGGTGCCACTCTCTCGGCTTCAGCTTTATTCTCTGCCAAGGTACATATATACATACATGCATACATAGTCTTGGTAAAAAGTATGGTCCTTGGCGTTGCACAAAGAGACCTTTGCCTGAAAATCTTTGAATAAATCAAGAGAGTGATGTAAAAAGTCTAAATAATAAATGATAGGGTTAGATAGAAACATTTTAAGACCTTAGGCAAGCAGTATCAATAATGTAATTTTTTCGATTTTTATTTAAAATTGCGCTAGTCCTTAACTGAAAAATATTAGAAATGTAATTTTTAGTGAAATTTGTATAAGTGAACTTTTCTGCCAATCTGGGCAACTATCCCCACAAATAACAGAAAAAAATAGTAAAGCAAAAATGGCTGAGGGAAAAGGTAGGAATAATCCTTAAAAAAATAATTTAAACTAATTGTATCAGAAGAAAAGCAGGCCGGATCACAAACCGAAAGTAGGTGGAGGAGTACCACCGCCTGCAGAACCTCGAAAATAATGTGCATTAATGGGAGGAGAACATCGATGGTTTCTCTACAAAGAAATGACTAAAAGTAATAAAAAAAAAATTTGTGCATCAAGTCTCTTTGTATATTTCCCAATATCGATTGGAGACACGTGGCAGTATAAAAAGGCTAATATACTCTTAGTTTGTGGTTTAAATCAACTAAACCACCTTTGCTTGAAGCCCTTGCTCTTCCATCTCTCCCACATTACACAACTCGAGACGCACAAGCGCATGTTACAAAAAAAAAACTGGTTTCAAATTACTTTATTTATAATATTGGTTTCTTTGAAATGATACTTTATCACCCATATTCACCTGATTCAGACCCCAAATACCATTAGTAGATGACAAAATTTAAGAAAATTCTCCAAGTGAAAAAAACAAAAATCATAGTTCAGCGTCTAACGAGTTTTTTGGGGAGCACTTCAAAACTATTTACCACAGATGTGTGGTAAACCTTGGTATACCACAGGTATAAATCTAGAATTGATCTACATATGTATGTATATTATAGAGTAAGTTTAGAGTAAATTTAGACAAAAAAAAAACTTGTTTTGGATGGTACAAATACACATACATATGTACATACATACAGATGTACATAAATTTGTATGCATGGTTCTCTTTGAGGTGCATATGTTTTCAAGGCACTGTATGACAGATCTTGTATGACAGATCCTTCGCGGGGGAAAGAAAAAAGAGGGAAAGCAAGTGGAAGAGAGGCCAGAGAGCATGTGTTTGTTAGGCATGACAACTAGATTAATCCGAAGTGCTATTCCTCGCCGTGCGACAAACAAATTTTTGATTGAAGTACATTTTAAATGCTATTTGTTTATGTGTGCGTATATGAGGGGGCACTTCCATTATCAATGGGCAATGGGCACCACGCAAATGCTTCGTGGAACCTTTGACCAACTGCGAGCCTAGGCCCCACCGCACCGATAACGGTCACTGCACATTTCTCTCTCTCTCACTCTTTCCTGCTCTCTTTTAAGTCTCAGCTGATATCATACGTAACTTTGACTAAGTGGTTTGTAATTCTCCGGCGGATTCCAAAGTCCGGCATCCATGTACATCCATGTGACAAAGCGAAACAAATACGATAACTACGAGGGAAACAATGCCCTGCCCTGTTCTGTCCTGTTCAGCCAAACGGCGCCCTCTGCCGCTATAGCATAATCAATATACATACATATGTACATACATCTGTATGTATATGTAAATATGTACATATGTATGTACAATTGTATGTGTGCCTCTGCCTGATAAGCTGTAAGCCAGACGAGAAGATCGCGCGTTATCCACTGGTATGCGAAGGGGCTGATTCCAAAGTCCAGATCGAACACTGTCGTCATGACTTGTTTATGTTGTAACCATGCCCAGGTGCTGCCTTCTGTCGATTGCCTATCGCCCATTGGTCTGGCCGTGGCTGTGGGGTCTGGTGCTGGGGCCTGTGGCCTGTGGCCTGTGGCTCGGGATCGAGTGACGATTTCCAGATATCGACAATTAATAAACAATGTACATATGGAGGTAAATACCATTTCTAAACAAAAAGCTAACATTTCTAAACCGCACTATAGGAAGTAAAAAAGTACATATATACATATGTATGTACATATGTAATCGATGATTTCGGAATGCTTTTTCTACAGAGAACTAAACTCTGAGTATATTATCATTGCAACCATTTCAGAATGTCTTCTGATTACATCAGCTATGGGAAAAATCCATTAAAGATCTAAGAGAATGAGCAATAATACGCTAATACTGTCTCATATAGCTGTTTAGCAGAGAACCAGGCCATATAAACAGGCCATACATATGTACATATGTACATACAAATTATTTATTATAGTATTAATTATAGGCCATATTTTGAACATATTTATGCACATTTTATGTACATAAATACATATTTAAGTACCTATTGCTTTCCGTTATCACAGACAAGAAATGTCCGTCCGTTTGTATTTTCGCAATGTTGTTTTTAAACCCGATTTCCATAGAATTTTTTTGCCTAGGCATACTCTATATATAGAGTGGGGGAAGCATTCAAGTAATAGTACTCGTAATGATATTGTACTTTGCGGACTTTGAATCAGCGGCATGAGTGGGTATACGAAAGGCGAATGAGTCGTTGGTTTATTTCATTAAATTTGTATTTTTTTTTTTCGTATTGCTTTGCAGATAGATTGTGTCTGGCTGATAAGAGTGTTTAAATACTCTTTTATTATTTTTTTTTGCTTCATTCATTTAATGCCTTTGTTTTATAAGTGTCGCCTGTTATCGTTATGGAGGCATAAGCCTTTAAGCCACTTATTAAACATTGTTCGCTCAGCTTATCGCTTTTTAGTGACACAGAAATGCCTGAAACTCACTTATGTACATATGTACATATATCTCTCAATCTGTTATAAAATCCAGAAAGTATTGGAAACTTCCTTGAGTTCGCTTGGATATACAATGTACATACGCCAAGCTCCTTGATGTTGTGTGACTCTACTCTGGTTCTGGACTAGCAATTTGCATGACATTGCATATAAAAAATCAATTTATTGTGAGGGAAGGATTTTTGGGGAGCTCTCAGAAAGAAAAGGACGCTTCACCAAGATTCGGTACCTAGAGCAAGCCAAGCCGACGTTAGTTCAATTGAAATTGCATCGAATGTCCCACAGGCTGCACTGAGCGTCTGTCATTTGGGAAGAAGAGTACGGGGGGGCCTGTGTGCTCTGCTTAAGTATTAAAATTAATTCGTCATAGTGCAAAAACACGCCAATGAACAAAAGGAACGGAACAGCCAGCAGAAGCAAAGTCATCCGGCAGTTTGGACTTTGGACGCTCTACGTGATGTAGTCGTCGTCTGGACGGGCGGGCGATGACGACGACAGCGACGACAACTCCCGCGGCTGTGTGGCGCTGAAAAAATTCGATGCGACGCGTCGGCTCTGGAGCGCGTGTTTTATTTGAGCGAAGATGGAGGAAACAAGAAACACAGGCGAATAAGATTCAAATATAATTCATTGACTAAATTTAGACGGGACCAAAGACCAACTCTTGGGCATACGTCATGGCATGTCATGGCGTGTGGTTAAATGTGCAGGGTAGAGATGGACGGCGACTGAGGCATGGACCAACACGGCAACGAAACTAGAATATTCCAGTCCACGCGAAGACGAGCTCGCAGCGACATTCACACACGTACATACATACATAAGTATGTATGTACATATCTTCAGTCAGAATTTTTAATTTTATTATCATTTAAGAGTCAATAATAAAGCTTATTGGAGATACTCGTACAACGCCAAGAACGAAAAGCAAGACCGTCATATCTCTGAAGTGCTTTATCAAATGATATATTTTTGTACCATTAAAAGCTTATAACTTCATTTGAGAGTTAATAATAAACATAATAAACGGTCTGCAAGTACTCTGAATCGGTGATCGTCATACATATTGACGAGATCTTCGGCTATCAAACAAAACAATTTTTTCCTCGCCCGACCACAAGGTAATCCTTCACATTTGGGAAGTGCCGCCAAAAGGTCCACCATGCCAAAAAACATTAAAAGTCAATAAAATCACATTTCCACATAATTCTTTCCCGATACAAATCTTTCTAAATTTATTGAAAGCCAATTAATTAAATCATTTGAGACTTTGTTGTGAAAACCGAGGGGACTGAAGCTGGTTTTTTTCAGTTTCAGTTTCAGATGGGGATCAGGCTCGCTGGGATTTTCTGTTCATTTCCCACATCAGCTCCAGTTTGTGTACAGTGTCCGGTTCCATAGCAGTGCCATGTACTGTCCCCGTATAACCAAGCCACAAGCCAACGATAATCGCCCCCAAGCCAAGCCCAAGCCTAAGCTCGAATCCAACCAGCGCCCTACCACATACTACAGTGGGTCCGACCCCCGTCTCGAGCAACTAGTCGTCTACCGGTCCCTGCTCGAGCACTTGCTGGACCAAAAGATACACTATGACCGGGAACGGGAACTGGAAGAACAGCGTCTGGAGCGGTTTCGGCGCGAGGGCCTCAACGAGCG